CTGCAGCACTGGGGGCACACGGGTGATTCATCCATTTAAACAGCTAAAACCAGAATTCTCCAGCAACTACGGGAGGAGATGCTCCATCTCACACAGAAGATAATTGCCAGGGCTCTCAACACTAGAAGGGAAGGTCTCTGCAGTGGAAGAGATGGTGCTCGCAGTAGTATGCGCAGGGCCATGAGCAATACAAGTGCCAATGTTTTCTCAGCTGAACGGAGCTGAGCTGTGTTATCCAATTCCTGAGCTATAGATTCTGAGTAGCCCAAGGGGAGGGGAATGCATTAATTACTTATGAATCAATTGATCTGCTGCTATTTCAGGAACATCTATCTAATGGCTCTGTAATAGAGATGATTTCCAAACAGCAGCTCCCTCACTTAACCCAAGTCATCCCTCACCCCACCACCCCAAAGAGCAGGACAAGAGCCTGCAGTACAGGGAACCTCCAGGGTGTAGGGCAAATTCCTACCAGGTATTGGCTTTGTCTGTTCTTCACTTCGTTCTTGTATCCCAGTTTATATCAGTGCAGAGCAGTTGTGAACTGTCACCACTGGGAATGAGACTGTGTTGCACCTATCTCACCCTGCTAGAAATGGTGAAAGAGGTAAAAAGCAATAACGAAATGGGTCCACGGGTGGCTCCCCTTGGTTGGATATATTCCAGAGTGTCATCATAAAAATGACACAGAAGGAAGGTGATCCCTCCCTCTCTCTTTCTACCCACATACATAGAAAAATGCCCCCACTTCTGGTATGTCCAGAAGCAAGGACATAGACCTTCATATGGCCACCAGCATACATTACAAAAGTCCTCAGCAGTTTCCCACTCAGTACTGTGGCAGACAGCTGCAGGACTGGGGAAAAAAAATATGGATTTTTAACCATTTTGCAGCCCTGAACTGTTCTAATGCTTTTGGGCAGACCTTGCATTTGGCCCCTTGCATTTTACGTTGGCAATAACATTCTATTTCAAAATGCATAAGCCAGTTCCTTTCTCATCAGAGTCCTCTGTGGCTTGCTCCTAGCTTCATCTCCCATATGACTTGCAAGTGCATTAAAGTGTTGAGATTAAAATTTCTAAAAAAAAAATTATGTAAACAAGATACTTGGCATGCAGTAGATTGCACTCTGCTCAGTAATGAGCCTGGACCACTATGGCAGAGTACGAAATCACTCCTTCAGTTTTCTGTAGACCCTCCCCAAAGCCACAGTTCAGTCTGGGCAGTTGTTGATTTCCTACAAATACAGAGCATCTCATAAAGGACAAAAGTATGTATTTTTTCAGTTTATCACCCTAGACCAGATCCTCAGCAGCTGTAAGTCTGCACATGTTAAAGATCAATGGCCCATTGCCGGTTTATATCTGTTGCTTAAGTGTCGCTTAGGGGAGCCCAGAATGCAGACACAGTCTCCATAGGAGTATGGTGAATGCTTCCAAACTTTATTCCCAAGTACGGGTATACTTATAGTACAAGCAGGGTTCACGCGGCACAAGCAATAATTTCATTGGTCTTAACACACTGTCCATGCACTTCTCCTCAGACAGTGATGGCACCTGTAATACTTTTCATTGGTTTAAGCTTTACTGTCCATGCCCTTATTCTCAAGTAGTGACTGGATATATGAAACAAAGCACACAGCTACCTTATGCAAGCCTTGCGATTAGAGCACATCCTAATTAGTCTTATCAAATTCCTTCATTCTTGTTTGCAACAGGTGCAACCTCCTCCTTTCAGGGCCCCAAGGACACACTGTTTTCAAACCCTGGATTGTCCACATATTCCCATAATATTTTATGGCCTTGTTCAAGAAACTCCTCTACAATTCCTCCTTTTTCTTTTTGGACAATCCAGAGTTGTTGTACCTTATTACCTTTCCAGGGGTCCTGCTTAGAATCCTTCGGTCCGGGGATCAGAGGCTCTCCCCGAGAATTCCTCGGTGCCGGCTGGAGATCCCATGGTCCCGCGGATCTGTCAAGATTCACAAGCAGTGTTCCATCTGGGGTGTCACCTTTTTCTTTTTGGATAAGCAAAACAGTAGATACTAGTTTGGATAGTAAACGTTTTACAATACCTACTATAATAATAATAATTATTAGTCCTACAGCCAAAAGCATTAGCAAGCGTAAACCTCCCCGTAAAGAGATCTTTCACCCATCCTGTTAGCCCCCATTGTTCAAACCACTTGTCCCAGGGACTGGAATCTTTTTGTATTTTTTGTAAGGTCTTCTTCATCAAGGCAATTGACTGATGGATTGATTCACTATGGTCGCTTAGGTTAAAAAAGCACATGCCATCAAAATCTTTACATCCATGGCCTTGTGCCAATAGTAGAAATTCGATCGCAGCACGGTTTTGTAACAGAGCATGTCATAGACCTTTTTGATCTAATAATAATTCTCCTAAAATCTTCGTCGTTATATTACTTTGTTTCTCTGACCAACAGGCAAGACATGCTAGATTCTTTAAGGCATTACCAGCAGCAGCACCCGGTACAAAAACAGCTAAAGCAACGCGAGCAGCTACAGATAAAAGTTCAACATTGTCATTACAATCAGGGGTTAATAAGGCACATTTCACTCGACTCCGGCTGACAGACATAGTCATATTCCTAAGTTGACTAAGAGATGGTGCAAACATGGTTAGTTTACCTAACTAGCAAGGACCACCAATGACATTTGCAGGTATACCCTGCCAGGCTCTGTCCCCACAAATGAGGAACGTATTGGCAGGTAACGCCTTAGCAGAACCGTTGTTCCTAATACTACTTCCTCCTCTTGCTTCAGCTCCATACGCTCCTAACCCTTGTTGCTTGTTAGAGGTGCCACAAAAAGAGCCTTTACCTTGATAA